GGATGATGGAATGAATGAGAACAAGATCGAGGCCAGCTTCGATTGTCTTATATAGACAATTTCAGCTACAGCACACGGCGAGGAAGGTGAAGATAACAACCACCTTCACCGTCTCTGTCCCCGTATCCGACTTCAGCCAGGGAAGCAGCCAAAGTACTGACTATGGATACGGGGCCGCGACTGCGCCCGCGATGCCAAAAGCTCCATGTCCTGTTCAGTGAACGCCACTAGATCGAGGATCTTAGAGCCGCCTGTTGGCGGTAGAGGCTGGGGCTGGTGCTAATTGCGGCTGCAAAGCGAACTCAAAGCATGCCCTCAGCTCGTAGCTGGGAGCTTATCTTTGATACGGAGCAGCCAAATACCGGTGTAAGCCGCCCGGGCCGGCTCTCGTGTTCTCATCATTGGGTAGCAGAAATCAAGGGGTAGGCCAATCAATGGGGCCGGTTATTGCGATAAGGGAAGAATGACGATGGGGCAGTGCCATAATAGTCAGATAAGACTTAACCGCTACTTACCGATTGAAGTTTTGATGATCAATTCGTCACTGAAAATAGTTCTGAGTCGGAAATGCCGAGCTTTGTAGCGGGCCTTTTTTAGAAAAAAGATGACGAGAATAAGTTATTCAAAGAATGAATAACGTGAAGAGTGTGATGTTTTGGTGTTTTCTCAGTCAAGAGGGAAGGTTGGTTATAGTTCTGACACTGGTTAGCACTGACGAACCTAACGCAGGACCATGTTACGGAGTGCACGAACTCAGCGCAGCCATCCGTCAGCCCTGTCGTAAATAGAAGCTGAAGACGGTCTGGACAAGAGATAACAAAAGCTCTCTTGATACGTTGGTTTGGTTTGGGATAATGAGGTCTCAAAAGATCAAGCAAGCTAGGGTGCTGTGATGGGATCTTTAAATAGACAAGATAGGAATAAGGGGTAGAGGAAGAAAGCTTCTTTTGGGTGAGGAGAAGCAATGCAAAAAGGTAGATTGTTTGAAAAACAAAGAACTAAAGAGGTCAAGTGACTTATCTCTCCAACTTTGAAGGGGCCATGGGACTGGCGATGGAAGCTTTATATACTCCCAGTGTTAAAGTGTCTCTCAACGACGAACCGAGACCAAGAAGTGCACCACGATGTATGTACTAAGGTACGTACCTTTCCAGCACGGTACGTACCTCGTTCATCCATTCAATCATCAACATAATAGTAATAGTATTCGCTTCGCTTCTCTTACACCGTACCTATGCCTGTAGGTACCGACCAAAAGCTGTCACGCTTCCATAAAAAAAAACCACATCCCTTGTAAGGTCTCCCGCTTGCTCACCTTGAACACACACCCCTTCCACTTGTGGGGCAGACCCTGCTGGAAGTTCACTGGGCTGGGCATAAGACCGGGCGGGTGTGTATTTGATAGTCCCCCCAGGCCTTCCATTTTGCCTCTTTGACACCGGGCAAGCCGGAGAAATGAAATAGGTGTCCAAACCACTCTTACAGGTGCTGGATCAACCCCGCCACAGGGCTTCAGCAGCTGACCTGGCTTATACTTTAGCAGGTATGCAGCGTGCCTCTTTCTAAAGTTTACCTGTCGCTTGCCCGGGCAATTTCTTTACAAGTATCCATCCGGTTGTCAACGTGATACAGTATCAACATAAAGAAATGATTATCAAATAAAACAAAAAGACATAAAATAGCCCACCGGCCCGGTCGGTCAGAGATACATTCTCAATTTGGTACCACCCACTCCTGAATTGAATTGATCTGAACCGAAGCGGATCCCTCCCCTCCAGCTAAAACTAAGCCCGCCAGAAGAGTCGAGAAAGAAAGAATTTTGTTTTTGGCTGCAACTGGACTGGACTGCAGCAACGCCCCTTCGATCGTGATCATGACCTCAAGGTGTACAAGAAGAAAAAGTCCCATTCGATTACCCAATAGTGCCTCTGATCTAAACCCCAAGGGGGGAAGCCCTTGTGCTTTTTGAACCTGAACCTGACCTGGACCAAGCGCCTGGTTCCTGGCCGTTCGATTCAGAGACTTATCGTCCAAATACATACAGAGTGAGCCCAAGGAATGTTATGTTTGGTGGGGGATGGGATGCAGGCCCGGTTATTCGAGGCTCTGCAATTTCCATCGTACCCATCCATAGAATCCCGCCCGCCTTTCTCCAGATTTTCGTTTGACATCACTAGTGAGTTAGTGCATGTATGGTTGCCAATGGGAGAGTTGCTTGGTAGACTTCAACTCTAACATCAATATCTGTCAACTCCAGCTCTCTCTCACAACAACCCTTCATGTCTGTTACTTGGTTCACAAACTTTTCAGAGGTTAACTACATTCTAAAACAAATGCTCGTAATAAAGAACTTCCTCCATTCTCAGACATCGATAACGTAAGTCGACACAGCTATACCTGCGCTATGCATGCAAACAGCACCCCACAGTTAACCTGTTTTGTTCACCCAAACGGTGTGGAGGATGGTGCAATTCATTCACCTTGCCCACCTTTGTTTGGTCTGGGTCTTGTCTCTGCGAGTCATCGTCAATGGCAACTTCGTGACACGCAGATCCTACCTTGAATTCCGGTTTTTTGTTATGTTGCCTGCTATGTTTCTCTCCGTTTCTGTCTGAGTTTTAAAACCAAATATTGACACGGTTATGTCTCACGATGCTGGTTCATCTACATTTCTATCACTAGTTGGAAATGATGTGTTTGTAGTGTCTTGTTCGCCATGATGTACCATATAGTCACGTCAATATAAACAGTAATTCACAATAAAGAACGTGCTACGTTCAGCTAGCTTCAATTGACCTTTTCAAAATCCATTTTGGACCCGTTGTATTAATTATCACGCAGTTTTGAAACGGAATTGGCTTTAATGGACTGCTATGGCGAGAATTGTGTCAGCTCAAGGTTCGCATTGTGTAAGATAATGCTGGGGTTTTGCATCAGCCAAGAAAGGATACACCTTGGTTGGTCCCAAGTCTACCAACAGGCGGCGAAAGCCTCACTTCCCATCAATTAATCCTTGCTCATTAGTAGAACACGTTTCTACGCCATTGCAATCTCTGCAGACACAGAACCCGTCTCAGTCAATCAATCAACCAAGGGGTAACGTATGTGCGTCCCTGAATTAGAATACACGACTCACTACCCCAGACGGGAAGCTGGCGTTGAATCTGACCGCAGCAAGCAAAGTTTGGTAAAACCTAACCAAAAAAGCCTTCCATACCCCAGACAATAGACCGAAATCTAGCTCACCTGACCGAAGAAATCAATACTCACCGAAACTTCCAGACCTTGAAAGGGTTGACCGATTTAAAGGGGGACGATCACGGGGCCCAGTAACTAAGTTAGTCTCGATTCCCAGGGGGAATAACTTCAATTGAAGCGAGATGCATCCATTCATTCCCCCAGATCCAGCTACAGTCATCAAGGTCATGAAATTAGCAAACATGCGTTGGCAGAATGATCCTACTGCGTCTAATTTACACCCTTCCCCATGGTTCAAGGCATGGACAAGTAAGAGCACAGCACGCCGGTTGGTTCGAGTCTCCTACATGCGAGAACCGGACCTTGACAGGGTTTGCTCCGGCCGACGCGGGGCCGTTGGTTCGGTACTTACGTACAGGTACCATTCCCCAGCGTGCCATCAATGATGACAATGACACAATTGTTGAGTCGAGGGGCCGTTGAGTAGCATTTGACTATAGCACGAGGTGTTGCTATGTGTCCATCACGAAATGAGGAGGAGTTCTGGTGTAAGATGGAGCGTTGCACAGCATAAACGGAGAACATGTTAGAGTTTGCCAGAGACTCGGTATGTCTGGCCTCAACTATGTGTCTCATGATCATCGATCAATTAAGACTCTCATGAACTGAATAAGTGCCTGGAGTGTAGTGCCTACCTGCCCCAAGCTTCTTTACCTTGGAAATCTCTTTCTCCAATACCCCAGACTCCAGATTACCCCCCTCACTGATCAATGCTTTGACCTTGACCTTGATGTCCCCTCTTCATTTTGAATCAAATAGAAACACAACTGTCCCACAGGAACGGAGCCGGCACCCACGCGGAGGAGGATGGCCCCGGACTCCCCCGGGAAGAGCCCCACACGGCCGAGGACCGGCAGTACCGAAAAGGTCTTAAAGCCAAGGCTTTTTAGGCCTGCTAGACTTGGATCTGGATTTCTATTACCCCCAGGTTTTGCCCATGGGCTCCAGTTTCCCCCAGTTTGGGATCTGGCCTGTGGCACAAGGACAAGAAAAAAATGAAAAAGAAAAAAAACTCAAAGCTTTTTCCCCACGTCTATTTTCATTACCCCCGATTTACTTGATCTTGCAGCACTCGCGACAGCCACTGTTTCCCTTTATTGCATCACACGTCCAACCGTCCAACTTTAACACATACAAGCCAACCTCTAGAGGAAAGGGTATCCATTGCATTACGGTACAGTAAATCAACTACGAATTGCGTGCTTGCCCTGTGTCCCACTGTACCCGATCTTTTTCTTTTGCTATTGCTTCCTTTCTTGCTTTCCTTTCCCGCCTTCTCGTGCGTGGCCCTTGTGGTTTGTCATGGGCGCCTCTTGGTTTAGCAAATCCTCCTTGTTACTTTGCACCCCGCATCCGGCGCTTGGATACGGATTGTTTTAACGCGTCACGAGGTGGGCAGGAAAAAATAATAAGACATATCGAACCCCATTTTTAGGGGTGTGTGGCTAGATCATTCATTCATTGGTGACGGTTCAGCGAGTGAGGCGCGTTTGTTGACGACCAGATGTTCACAATATTTGATGAGGTTCTCGTGATCTGATATTTACTTTACAATCTATGTCTGTTGTCCAGATCAATTGGTCTATCATTCTTATTATGTCTTGGAAGGATTGAAAAGGATGCACAGGGTAGCATAAAGAACAACTACATGCACAATTTGATACTGAAGATACCCTAAAGTCATGAATCTACAACACCATTAAACCTTTTCGTCTGTCAGATATCAGACCACTACTGCTCTGTCATATCTCTATCAGAACCTTGACTATGACGTGCCAGTCTATCATGGTCATTTACGTCTTTGCATCCACTCAGAGTTTCCGCTCTTACCGTCAGCCGCTTGTCGACGGTGACTGAACGTCACGAACTTTTGTGCTCCGTTGTGATACATCTTGCTCTCCACACTATTACCCCTTTGGATACCGTATGTGACAATGAATGTGTTACCCACATCTTCCTTTGAGCTTCCATTTGGTTTCGGACCTTGTCCTTGAAGTTTCTATTTTTGCTTACCTGTTACTCAGCATCATAGCAGTTACAGTTTGCGCACTCGCATGGCCGTCATATCCGATCATGTTTCAAACAGGCAATTGAACGGTCCTTTTGTGTTTAGTATCACTTGTATGATGAGTTTAACAGTACTCGTACAAACTGTACGCATTGCCCGGGGTCAAGATGAAGTGAGTTAAAATACACACCATTGTCACGATACGTCTGCACCTGGATCAAAGACTCAAAGAGGCAACCAATCAGGCCAACCCTCCACTAGCCGAACCTGGGGACAAACTGGCAAGCTTCGGCACAGTCTAGTCTACAGTACAGAGTCGACTCTATTTCCTCATTGGGAAAACCTGCTTGTTTTGTTCTGCTCTGTTCTTGAAACATATTCTTCCTACAGATACTACATGTATCGTTCAGGTACCTGCAGTACCTTGCTGGCATCTAACCGGTCAACTTTTAAGGTGCCACTAAGTGGAATGTTGGGGAAGAGTTTTCCGCGACGACGGCAGCTAGTGGTTGATCAAAGGGCCCCCAGAAACGCCTAGACAATCATATTCCCTGAGGGATCACAACTGCTAAGAAATCGACTCCACCAACAAGCAAGCTGCCCTGTTTGTGGGTAATCGTCCTTTCATACCCGGCCGAGATGCTGCTGGCTCTGGTTCTGGGTGTCTGGCTCCCCCGGAGATCCTCAGGTACCGTCTACGTACTTCAGCCTCCATTGTGAAGCCAGGCCACCTGGAAATGGACCCGTGTGGATGCCTTTTCTTTTTGGGGTGCGCTGTCCGGGGTCAGGGTTGCCCGTGCATAGTCACGATAGCTTCATTGTCCCTCTCTTTGACGAGTTATAGTCCACTATAGAAATTAGAGCCCATATCAGGCGTCTTGCGGTGAGGAGAAGCAGCTAGCTTTAACGAACCGGCACATAAAAAGCATCACCCGGAGGCTGCAGTGACCAGAAGATGGATCTTTTTACTAACAAACCGGGTCAGTACTTGTGATGTTGATATGTTGTCAAGTACCTCTCAATTATGACTGCATCGAGGACTTGTCGCTGCTAATTTTGATAGAGTATCATCCTCCTGCCCTTCACATATGTACCTACATCAAAGCAGCCTATCGACTTTACGCAGATGGACGGCACAGACACGTGCTGGTTGCAAATGTGACCTGGTGCATATTTTCTCCAGGGTTGATCAAGAATCTGAAAATTCTACAATCCCATCTTTGTTCGAAAGAAGAAGGAGAAGAATCTGCCATGAATCTGTTGTTGATAAAACTCGATACGTCAGCTTTAGCTAAAAAAATAAAAAAAATAAAAAAATAAAAAAGGGCACATTCTGATGTAGTTGAAGAAGGTCGGCGTCTATTGCCTGTTGTGTAACTATAAGCCTCCTACACTCTTGATCGACTTCTTTTCCCCAGATCACAGAGCTTACCTTGATACCGACGGCCCAAGCTCTTTCTTCATAGCTTTGATACGTTTCCTATACCGATTCGCTAGTGTTGTACTTTACGAAGTGCTTTTCATGCAACTATCACTAGAGATCTGAATGTCGTTCCTGATCTTCTGAGGCTTGATCAGGTACCCAATCGCCAGTCAATGTCTATCATCCAATCGGCGTTTTAGCCCCTGTCGCTCTTCTCCTCAATAGTGACTATCACAACCTTGACCAATCCACAAAGTTACACCAAAAGCATCACACGGCATTCTTTGGTAATTTATGTGAGATTCCGTGGAGATCACGAGGTTCGTGTCTGTACGATTGGCCTCCAGCGCCTCGTAATCCAAAACCCCTTGTGTAAATTAAAGCTGGCATGCTTTTACCGCCTCGTCATGTCAAACTAGCAAGTTTGTTGATGTCGCAAAGTATACGTAACCTCCCTGCATCTCAATGCTTCCAGACGGGCTGAGAATAGGTCACGATGCCAGATGTTTAATTGCCAATGGTTTAGTCAATTGACGAGCTCCATCAGAGGTCGGTCATGTGTTGTCCCCCCTTGGAACAGGGGACTACACATATTACGTACTAGTCTCTTTGCTTATAGGATATCGCTACCAAAGTCTTATAGAGTTTTGAGGCTCGGTTCAAACTGAACTCAATAAGATAATTTTAGCATCCTGGGTATTTTCAAACTCCCAGGGCATTCTACTTTTCACGTTGTGGTATTCCAATTCTTTCTCTTTATTCTGCACCTCTCGTGGATTTCGTCGTCAACCTACCTCGTGAGAGAGGAACTGGCACAGTTGAGCTAGGCCCTTGGCAGTATTGTAAGGAGCGAAATCTTCCGCCAAGTCGCAAAGATGCTTGTATCGTTCGATCCTTGAACTTTATCTGTTATCTACAGACCAGATCGCAGCAAAATCAGCGCCAGGTATCGGAAGGGAAAGCCTTTCTCGAAAGAAACACAACAAGAGAGCTCGTGGTAGTGCCATAGGTCACGCCTGGCTTCTATAAGCTCTCTCTAACCTTATACTGGCCTTCATTTATTGAAAATCAACTGAAATGACCGATATATCTGCAGTCGTGAGCCTCTTAATGCGGTAACCTGAACAGCATAATGTTGCCCTGTTGCTGAAACCTATGCTACTGGTCTCTAGATAGTTGTGGCCCTCAAGATGATGACCACTAGATATGAGCGGCTCTCAGAGTATATTTGCCCTTCGGAGATGACCACATGATGAATTTCTCATTTGTGTATTGCAAGCCAAATGCTGGTAGTTGAGTTTTGGTCAAGATTCTCGTTAATAAGTTACCCTGTCATCATGATTGGTGAAGCCACGGCAGAGGGAAGCAGGACCATTCTCTCGTATATAAGTACTTGACAGGCTTCCTTTCGGATTTAGGCATATTGTGGTCCGGACGTATCGAATACTGCCACGGTAACATGGAATTTTCTTAATGCATTCGAATTGTAAGAGTTCTAAGAAATCATCGAGTTCCATACTCATGATGTAAGGAGAACACGTGACGATGACCGATAATTAATTTTCGGCTAAACCAGGGATGTGAGTACTGAAGCTTGGAGCGACCAACGTCCAAGGAAAAAAAATCGTGACGCACGTCAACACCCGCAACCAGTCATCAAGAGAATTGCATTTCGCTTTACGACTCTTAAACAAAGTCGCGCATCCCGGTCAAGCTAAAACTATAGCATTAACAGATTTCTTTGGTTTCAAAAGGCCTGAGGTGCTATATCTTAACAGCTCCTTCACACGGCAAAGCCCTTGGACAGGCTCTTTGATATCTTGAATAACCTCTCTATCCAACACATCCCACATTCCAATCATTCAAAATGGTTACCCTCACTGAGGTCGAGGACGAGCACTTCCAGCACGGCCAGGCTGGTCCCGATATCGAGGAGGACGACGAGGATTACTCGGATACTGGTAAAATCTAACCCCGCGCTTTAAATTCGCACTCGCGATATCGCACATACTTACTGGATCTGCAGATTCCGAGATTTCCAACGAATCCGAATACGACCCTTCAGATGAGACTCTCGCTGAGCGATTATTTGCGCTGCGCGATATCGTACCTCCCACTACTCGCTCTTGGATCTCCGGCAAGGCCAGCTCCGTTAGCAGCGCCGCCTGGAGCGTTCTCTCTTTCAGCGGCAAGGGTGCTTGGGTGATCACCACCTCTGCCCTCTTTTTCGGTGTCCCTTTCGCCCTGTCTTTCGCCGAGGACCAGCAACTCACTGCCATGGAGCAAGAGTACAACATGCGACAAAGCGGTAGCGAGCTTTTGACCGCTGGCACCGAGCAGAACACCGCCGATCAGGTTGGTGCTGCTCTCGAAGGCAAGCCCGCCCAGCCTTCTCTGTAAACCATCATCTTGGTGTCACATATTCGACAAAAACCTCGATCTTATGTTTCTGGGTATGGAGGAGATTTAGGCGGCGCGCCTTTTATTGCCGGGCGCAGTCGTCGTTGGACCGCATACAAAGAAGTACGGCCTTCCAAGTGTACAATATCTATTCACGGCGTAAACGGCCGACGGGAGCCCCATGACGGATGCAATTGGGCTGAATCAGGAGGAACGAGAAGTGTAACGCATCCATGGCGCATGGTCACCGGTGTAAAGTATATGGCGGTGTTGGTAATGACTGCGATCTCATCTCCAGGAAAGGCGGTTTCACATGTATTTTGTCTCATTAGAGATGTATCATTGACGATTTATGTGTGAGCTTTTATCAAGCTACGAACTGTTCCTTGTCCCAGCAGTTATTGTTTCACTCATTGATCAATGTAGTTGTACTATTATAATTGATGTATGGTAGAAATCAATGTTCGAGTTATCAAGTTAAAGCAATGCAGTCTTGCCTAAGCAGATGTAAGTTGGAGAATGGTGTTACTCTTTCCACAAGGTTTAGGGTAGGATATTCTGTTGGTGTTACTCCGCCGATCCCTGAGTGTATCTTACCCCATACACCCACCATCTTGCGTTATAAGACTATATATCTTGCAACTAACTGCTGAGAAAGCAAAAGGGAAAATGATGGAATACATCGAATTGCCAAAAATTGAGGTTGGTCAACCCTCTTGTCATATGTTGCAATACTAAACAGAGCTATAGCTCCATGCACACTTGACTGGAAGCATCTCACGCCAGGCTCTCCACGAAATATGGCTTCGCAAGAAGGAGACGGGCGATACTGATCTTGATGATCCTCTGGTTGTCATGCCAGAAGGTAAGCACGACTATAACTTGCAAACGTAAGAACTCTCACTTGCCAACCGCCAACCCGATGAGAAGTTTACACATGGCCAGAAACCACTAACATCGCCTTCGCTCATAGCTTCTTCCCACTCTTCAGCAGTTATATATACAACCTCATCACTGACGAGGAATCTGTTCGCTATACTACGAAATCTGTTCTAACTGATTTCCTTAACGATGGCGTATGTTATCTCGAGCTTCGAACGACACCCCGCAGCACCCCTCAACTCTCAGCAGAGCAATACATCGCAACTCTTATAGACGCAATCTCACTATTCGAGTCTAAAAGTCCTCAGCTACACACCCGCCTTATTCTATCCATTGACCGGAGACATACCCTTGAACAAGCA